CTCTTTAACTGGCCTGCGACACTGTGGTTTACAGTGACAACTGATAAGCAATGTTCCTATTCACCTATGTTTGCTATTCCCAGCTCTCCCTACCCCCATGACCACTCTTGCCAACCCTAATTTAATGAGAAAATTCCTTTGCTGCTTCTCTCTTGCATTTTCTTGGCTCAGTCTGTATTTCATAAGCTTGTATTTCAAGCTCTTGTTCCTATTATCTATGAATTTAATTTTTTCTTGTTGCATCTGATGCCTGGATGCTTTTGTGCTCTTACAAATGCCCATGCAGAAGAACATCTGAAAAAATGAATTGCTCGATCATGGGACATGTACTTGAAAAAACAGCAAATGTCCCTTTTTAAGTGACTTCTGAACTACATGTTTGAGGGACTTTTAACAATGGGACTTAAGAGTTAGTTCTGAAGTGCAGAGGCAAGTTTTACTTGGCACAAATACTTTTGTGTTTGTTTAAATCACAGTTGTACTTACTGCTTTTGGCAGATGCTGACTTATCAGTTATTTCCATTGCAGTTTGCTCACCAAAGTGTGATTATAAGGGTCTGATTCTGAATTCTTTTAGGCCTCCAATCCTCCATGTATACTTCTATTAGAAAGCCTTGAGTCAGTCTCTCAGATGGTCAAAACAAAGCAATTTTTATGTGCAGTCAGCTTGTGTGAATATGTTGGCTATGGATATAGTTACTTGTGGTTTAGCTACATCACGAATTCTGCGAATAACAGATTTTTCTCATTTTTATTAACCTGATATTAGTTGAATGATACTTCTTTACACCAACATCAGCATTTTGTTAACTTCAGCTAGGACACCTACTTTGGTTATCTTATTATAAATCACTGATTTCAATGGAACTGCATCAGATTTGAACCTGATTCCATGTGTGCAATTAACTGTCTGAGAGATATTCAGCAGCTACAAATTGTTCACGTGAGTCTGAGCTGAAAACATAATTAAATGCTGATTACAATATATATTCTCTGTTTCTTTGGAGTAGAGGCCATATTTTGGTGATCCGATTGATTCAAATTATGTCCTCTCACATTCCCATTTTCCTTCTGCTTTAACATGGCTCTCAAAAATTAACATAGCTGTCAAAAACATATGAAGCATATTAGAGACAGCCCTCTCCAAGGTCATCTAAACATGTAACTGTTGAAAGGAGACTTGCATTGGCTTAGTTCCCCCTTCATATCTCACTATTTTATTAATAACTTAGTTCTAAACAATAGACCAGTTTCACTAGCACGCTGTAAGCAACGTGAATGTTGAATTGTGACATTGTTCTCTTGGAATAATTAGTCACAACAAGCATTTTTTGTATTTGTTCTGGTTAACCAGGTATTTGGATCTAATCTTTTTCCCTGCAAGAGCAAAAAAAATTTAAGTGGGACATGCATCTTGTGATATCTCTAGTCATGTGAAGAACTGCAAATGGAAGAGCTAACCTCTGCCTGCATGGGGCCAGAGCATGCTTAAGTCTGTGCTTTAGCAAGAGGCCAGTGAGGGTGCTGGGATTGTTTTTGGGAGCACTGGATTGTGACAGCTGTTAGTGTTATCAGTATCAAATGTTTAAAAACTTAATTCTGGATTAGTATGAACTGGTGGATAGTATGTGGGAGAGTTTTCAAGTATTTGTTAATGAGTATGACCCTGTCTTTAACAAGCCATTTTTGTCTGGACTGGATGGTCAGACAGCAGTCAGTGTTGACTGGATGGTCTCCTGTTCCCTAGGCCAGGGGATGGGGTGCAACCCACATCAGTCTGGTTTTTAGTGTGTGTTTCTCTTTGACAGCTTCTCAATGGCTTTTTTGCCTTTTGGGGTGGTGGTTGTATTACCTGGAGGATTGGGGGCTTGTAGCTTCCAGGTTCATCTGCAGTAAACGGCATAACTGGGGCTGTTGTGGGCACGGGGACCGGCAGATCCCTGTCCCCAGGGTGAATGCAGCTCTGATGCTGAGGAGTGAGGTTTGACACTGCCCCAGCCTTTTGCCTGGAGTGAGATGCTGTGCCGGGGGTAGTAAATGGGAACAGAGAAGCAAAAAACCATGCTTCCTTTCCTTTCCCTTGTGACTTCTAAACGCATTTGCACCCTACAATTACTAGCAGTTGTTTTCTTTCTGTAGTGACCTATATGTTTCTTGGCATATTACTAAACAAAAAAGAATTTTTTGAACATGTATCACACAAACAAAGGAGGAAAATGACATGTGCCTTTGTGCTCGTTGTGATTTCCCAAACTATCAGCAAGTTTACCCCAACCTTCTCTGTTTGAGATGTAACCAGAATTCCTGGCACCCCACCCATAATGCAGCCTGACCTCATCCTACGTGTGTCCATGAGGCAGGACAGGCACCCTGCCCACAGAGATGCCACCTGGTGCTCTGGAGGCTGAGGCTGATTTACCCAGGCCTTTCATGCCTACCAGACTTCCAAAGCAATTTTTAGTTGCAATCAGCAGAAGCAGTTTGATAAAACCAATGCAGATTTTTGGGTAGGTTAGGAAGCCTCCAGGTCGAGACTCTTATGTTTAGTTTCTCACACCCTTTCTGTAACAATCTGCAATACACACAATTTCCTTGTTGCCTTCCTCGGAACCCTTTTTTCCTAATATCTAGAGCAAACGCATAGATACCACACTGGACATTTTTTTCCTTAAAACGCTTGTTGTGCTGTTGAAGGATAAGTATATATTTGTATGTATATAAAAGGAGAAACTGGCAAATTAGCTTCTCTGTGCTTGAGAGGCACTGCTACAAACAGATTTTCTGTCCTCTGCATAAAGAGCTCCATGTTGCACTACTTAAGGGGGAAGGTTGTCTATTGTAATTGAATTTTGTAGTTCTCAGAGGAATGCCAGAAGTAGTATTGAAGTGGGAAGTTCAGTGAGTTTTTCTAGTACAAGAATGAACTATTAGGAACACTTACATGGCATTCCAGATTTACACAACACTTCGGCTTCCAGGTTACTGTTCTTGATCATGCAGAGATGCAGCAGGAGCATCTTCAGTGGACTGTTGACATGGGTTTGCACAAATGACCCATGAAAATGGTGTTCCTGGGATGCCGCTTGTGTGAACAATGGAAAAGGGATCAAGGAAATGTTTTATAAAATTTCTCTTGATCTTAATCTGTAATTAGATTTTTGATTGCAGTATGTCCTTTGCTTATGGCATGCTTGGTGGATACACCAGAAGGCTGTGCTGCCATTCAGCGAGACCTGGACAGGCTGGAGAGTTGGGCAGAGAGGAACCTGATGAGGTTCAACAAGGGCAAGTGCAGGGTCCTGCACCTGGGGAGGAACAACCCCATGCACCAGTACAGGGTTGGGGTGGACCTGCTGGAGTGCAGCTCTGTGGAGAGGGACCTGGGAGTGGTGGTGGACGACAGGTTAACCATGAGCCAGCAGTGTGCCCTGGCTGCCAAGAAGGCTAATGGGACCCTGGGATGCATTAGGAGGAGTGCGGCCAACAGGTCTAGGGAGGTTCACCTTCCCCTCTACACT